ATCATAAAGTGAATAGCAATAACTGAACAGAATAATAGAGTTGCAAGGAACCCTGAAGGTCCTCCAGTCCAACACACCCCCATCCAAGTAGGAAACCACATCGACAATGAGGTGGTGTCCCCCAAGGCCCTCAAAGAATGCTAAAGTATCTCTTGGATTGGAGAGAAGAACTTAGATTTTAAGTCTTGGAGCTTCAGCTTGGAATGGAATGGAATAGCCTTATTGGCCAGATGTGATTAGATCAAGATGAAGGGACTTGATTTATGTGTCCTACAGTAGAAAAAAATTATCTGTGTACACAAATGTCATTTTTGTATACAATAAAGAGGCAGATGTGGCTGAGTTGACTCTGAGAGTCTTCTGCTGAGTAAAATAAAGTATCTGTAGATTTACAACTTAGCTGGTACACCTTTGTATTCCTGGTTATGCTATGAATGCTTGGGCCACCCAACAGATTTTGACAGCCCTTAAAAACACGGATGACAGATTACATACCAGATCAAAATTTGGAAAGCAGAATGTCAAGATTGTACATAGGCGGCAAATAAATTTAACAAAAAATAAAATAAATAAATTATTCTCTGACTATTTGCCTCTGATGCAAAACAAGCCCTGAGAAATACTGGATTAGAAACCGCTAAGGTTGGAACTGAAATCACTTAAGAAGCTGCCGGGGAAGATTAGAGGCCTTAGTGGGCAGCAGGAAAGTAGGGGGTGTGGTGTCAACTGTTAGCTGGCTGAGGGCGAGGAAGGAAGTGGTGAATCAAAGAGCTGTTAGGCGCAGCCACGGCAGAAGCTCTGGCAGAGAAACACCAAAGGATCCCACTATACTGGAGTCGACTGGGTGGCCTTTTGCTAGAAAGGAGCCAGGAGCCAGGAGCCGATCAAGGCTGGAGCAATTAACAGTTAAATGGACAATGGAATTGGCTGATGGGCTGATGGTCAATCACATGCCAGTACAAAAGATAGAAGCTCATCCTAAACATGTTGGGTGAACGTGGTGAAGGTTGATCCTCCTAGAAGAGGGAATGGATCAATGCCTGTGGGATCCATCCCTTGTGAGCAAGACAAGAACAGAGCGGTCTTCCAAGTCTCCTCTCGATGTTCAGGACTAGCATTCAGAAGAGCCCTTGGTCTGGAGAAGCTGCTCTCCTCTTGGAGGGAACAGGAGAAGGCAGAAGAGATGTCCACTTACTTGCTTTCGCTGAGTTCAATGATGGTGTGGTAAGGTCTCATCTGGGGGGGCCCATCCCCTCGATTCAGCACCGCGGGCACATTGTAGGGAGTACAGTACTCAGGAAGGACCACCGGGGATATAGCAAGCAGGGACCTCCTGATGGATTCACGGGTGCCACCTAGGAACGATGATACATTTATACAGAAAACAAAATAACAAGAGTTGGAAGGGACCTTGGAAGACTTCTAACCCAAACCCTGTTTAAGCTGGAGACCCCATATCATTCTGCCCAAATGGTTATCCAATCTCTTCTTGAAAACCTCCAGTGATGGAGCACCTACTACTTCTGGAGGGAAGCTGTTCCACTGATTAATTGCTCCAAAAGTCACAAAATTTCTCCTTAGTTCTAGGTTGCTTTGGGGAATAGCTTGACCCCCTCTTCTCTTTGGCAGCCCCTCAAATATGGGAAGACTCCTATCATGTTCCCCCCCAATCCTTCTCTTTATTGGACCAGACACACCTCGCTCCCTCAACTGTTCATCCTACGATTTAGCCTCCAGATCTTTTATCTTTTTTGTTGCTCTTCTCTGCATACTTTCTAGAGTCTCAACATTGTTGGGGGGGGGATTGTGGTGACCAAAACTGGATGCCATCAATATTCCAAGTGTGGCCTTACCTACTACCTACTTACCTACCTATAAAGTAGTACTAACACTTCGCTGATCTTGATACTATCCCTCTGTTGATGCAGCCTAGGATTGTTTGGGCTTTTCTGGTTGCTGGAACAAACTTTTTCTTTTCTTTTTTAATTTTTCCTGATATTGCAAAAACCGAGGAAATGAGTTGAAGGACTTACCACATAGAGGAGCATCTCCAAATATCTGTTCCACATGGGTCAAGATGAACTCCACCACAATGGCCTGGATACGGACCTCCATGAAGACTGCAGTGCCATTGAAACCACAGACTTCAATGTCCTTGGACCTGCAGAGGATGAGAGAGGAACTGGAGGCCTCAGGAGAGGTAGGTTTACTCATAGGAACAAAGCAAACTCTTATTTTGTTCTGATTAACTTTACCTTCACAAGGTTTAGCTACAGGGAGTCCTTGACTTATGGCCATGAGTTTTATGAACTTCAAAGTTACAACGGTGCTGAAAAAGTGACTTACAACTGCTTCCTGCAGTTATGACTGTTGCATAAAGTTCAATGGTCATACAATTGGACACTATTCACTCCATGACCATATCACTTAGCAACGGCTGTTCCAGTTCCAATTGTGGTCATAAGCCAAGGACTACCTGAAGACCATATTTTCTGGTAAAATCAGATTATCAGGGAATGATGAGAGAGAGATTTCCTCTTCCCTTATTCAGTGATAAATTGGAAAAGATTTTTTAAATCTACTTCAAAACCACCAAAATCAAAAATTTTGGTTCCAGTTGGGATGGTCGCCGATGAAAATTGGACTACAATAAATAAGCAGAGCAGGAAAACATGTGTGACTGCAGTGCTATGTCACACCCAAGAACCAAAAGGTAGAGTTCCTTCCGAGCTGTTTCCTCGTTGTTGTTCGCCTACAGACAGAATCTTGCCAGAGTAAACAAACTACAGGTAGCTACCACCACAATTCAGACCAGAATATCCATTGCTAAACAAGGGGGTTGATTAAGTGACTCCTCTGATTTTATGACCGTTTCTGCCACAGCTGTTAAATGAATCCCTGTAGCTGTTATGTGAATTACAGAGTCGTTAAGCGAATCTGGCTCCCCCCATTGCTTGTTGGAAGCTGGCTGGGAATGTTGTGAGATCACTTGAACCCAGAATGCTGCAACCCTCGTAAACACACGCTGGTTACCAAGTGCTCAACATTTTGATCACGTAGCTGTTGGATTGCTGTGGTGGTTGCAAATATGAGGACCGGGTTGTTAGTCGCTTTTTTGGTGATGTTGCAATTTTGAATGGTTGCTAAACAAATGGTTGTAAGTTGAGGACCATCTGTCTCTGTATAACTACTGTCAGAACCCACCAGACTGGAAACGAGAAATGGAGAGGTCGCTCTACCTCAGCGAGGATGAGGATGAGAGACCGGCCCATTCCAGCTGGTTCCTGGAGCAAGTGATCGACATGCTGAGAGTCGCCTTCGACTCCCTCAAAGAAGAGAAGGATGACCTATGTTGGGGCACTGCAAATGCAGGGCCGGCTGAAGGAGAAGGCAATGCGGAAACCGAGACGGCGAACCCAGGCTCCTTCCATCAGCACTTCAGAGGCTGCGACCACAACAGTGGCAACTGCCCAAGTTGCACCAGCTGATGGAGATGGATACCAGCCCAGGCAAGGAAGAGGTCAACGAGCCAGCCAGAAATCCCCACAGCTGGGGGTAAAGTATGGCGGGAAACCGCAAAAGTTGGGCTTCTTCCTAGCTCACGTCTTGAGCTACATGGAAGAGTATGGCTGAGACATCCCCAGCCACCACGGGCGGGTGAGAATCATCACCATGGCACTAGAGGGTGTGGTGGCCGAGTGGATGGTGACCCTGCATGATGTAGATGCCCCAGAAGTGTGGAATTTCAACCACTTCATGGCAACCCTGAGAAGGAGATTCGAAGACCCCTTGACTGATTGGAAGGCCAGAGAACGCTTAAAAACTGTGAGGCAGGGGTGTCCTTGTGGGTCACTTTAAAGACAGACTGAATGATGACCTGTATTATGCCTGCATACCCCGGGGGGAATCCTGATCGGCTCCAGGACTAGTACATCTTAGCCGAAGAAGCTGAGATCGATCGGACCCTGAGACAACGATGCCTGGGAAAGTCCTGGGGACGATCTCTGGTGGAGGGAGCCTGGGAGCCACCAAAGCAAACCCCCACCACCCCGAGACCACCAGTCTGCTTCAAATATGGGAAGGAGGGACACTGCGCACCTAAGTGTCACTCAAAGACCCCAGTGCGGAAACCTGACCGAGTTGTAGGGGGGAAGCCCGGGAAAACCCCGCCAAAGCTGAGGGAAATGGCCATGAAAAGTGTGGAGGTTGTCAAGGTCCTGACCTAACCCCATCAAAGTATGCGGGAGGAACTCCAACCTGAACCGGAGAGCCCCCAGAGTCCTCGGAAGACAGCTCGAACCCCTGGCAAGTGGACTCATCGCGCCCCTCACCAGAACCGTAGAACTGTTTAGCCCAGGGATGCCAGAAAAGGTCACATTAAAAGCCCTGATAGACTACAGCTGCACTCATTGTCTCATAAGCCCAACCCTGGTGGGGAACTTAGGAATCCCGATGAGAAGACTGAAGAAGCCGATTTCGTTCGGTCAGTTAGATGGGTCCATCGCAGGGGAAATCCCAGCCACCCTCACTACGCAGCCCATCCAGCTTACCATAGGGAACCATGTAGAGACTCTAGCTTCGTGGTGACTCCTGGAATGGAATGCCCACTTATACTAGGCATGGTGTGGCTAACGAAATGGAACCCGAGAGTAGACTGGAGGACTGGAGAACTAAGGGTCCCAAAAGGCAACATCGATGCAAAGGGAGCAGCTCAGATTAAAGGAGGGGGGGAGGCAAATGCCCGGAAAGCGTGGCAGCGGTCAGCGATGGGGATTGGAAGGCATACCAGAAGAATATCGGGATCTAGCTGAAGTATTCAGCGAAGAGAGATCTGACGAATTACCTCCCCACTAGCCCACAGACTGTGCTATTGAAATCTTGCCGGTGGCGAAACTACCCAAACCAAAACTGTATTCCATGACCCCTCGGGAGTTGGAGGAATTACAAAAATTCATAGAAAAGAATTTGGCAAGAGGGTTTATCCAACCAGCGAAACCAAAAACTGCAGCCCCTGTGCTATTTCATGAAAAGAAAGATGGGTCATAAACGTTATGTTAGAGCTCCAAAACCTATTAGTAAATTCCATGCCAATTATCCTGACAAACCAGACTAACCCATATATCTATCTCCCCTTTTGTTTCCTCTACAGGGGCTCTCTCTTTCTTTTAAGGGGGGTGGCATGTCAGAACTCACATATTGGGAGGGGGGCTTTCTCCTATGTTAAATCCTTTCTTCTTCTTTCCTGTGGGTTCTGTCATTTTCCTGGGGGGAGGGGGAACCTGTTGGGGAATTGCAATGTATTCTCTTCCTTTCATTTAGCGCTACAATGTATCCTCTCCGCTTCCTCTATCTGCTTGCACTTTGAACTGTTTCCCCTTGATGCCAGCCTGGGGCTTATCTCTCGCTGCGGAAGGGAAGGTGCGCAGACCCAACAACATTTTCACAGCCTTGGGAACGCCGTCTTATCACCCGCGTTCCCACAGCGGATTCAACACCTGGGGATTGGCCCGTTTGAACTGACCGGATGAACTGTTGGGGTGGGGTTTGCTTCTTGCTCTTTTAACCTATTGATTCACGTGGGAACCCCTCAGATCCTGCTTTCTATGCCTGCTGTCAACTTCTCCTAATAAAAGATCCTTTTGGGATGAAACCATTCCAAGAGTTCTGCTTTCTAGGGAAGAGGTTTTGAAGCAGGTCCTTACATTTACAGGTAGTCCTCAACTTATAGCCACAACTGAACCCAAACGTTCTGTTGCTAAGTGAGACAGTGGTCAAGTCAATTTTGCTTCATTTTATGGCTGTTCTTGCCACAGTTGTTAGTGAAGTTAGTAACCCGGTTGTGAAGTGAATCTGGCTTCCCCATTGGCTTTGCTTGTCAGGTCGCAAAAGGGGATCGCAGGACCTCTGGGGACACGGCAACCATCATAGGTACATGCCAGTTTTCAAGCCTCCGAATTTTGATCACGTGACCCTGGGGATGCTGCAAAGGTTTTTAAGTGTGAAAAATAGTCATAACTCTCTTTTTTCAGTGCTGTTGTAACTTTGAACAGTCTCTAAACGAACTGCTGTAAGTTGAGAACTACCTGTACAGATATGCTCTGTGAACTGAGAGTTTCCACACCAGAGACAAATTTCTTGTGTGTCTAATCACACATGGCCAAATAAAGTATTCTAATTTTAATTCTACTTCTAATAATTCTACTTCTAATAGTTCTAATTCTAATAGTTCTAATTCTAATAGTTTTAATTCTGATCCCGATTCAGATTCTGATTGCTACGGAGGGTACGCTTCTGCTTTCTTCCTGCCTACAGACTCTCCAAGCTCTGTTTCATGCCTCCCTCCGAGCCTGACTCTGTTGAGGCCCAGGAGGGGGTGTCTGTGGCTTCAGAGGACTGTGGGGAGGAGCAGGCTGAAGCAGGCCAGGGCCCTTCAAGTTTGGAACAGGGAAGGCAGAGCTCAGGCGAGGAGCAAGGCCCCTCCCCACCAGATCCCAGAGCAAGGAGAGCAGAGAGGAGGAGGGAACAACGGAGGCAGGCTCACTTGCTCCGGAGGAGAGCGTCACGCCCTACTTTACAAGGCACACCTGGGAAGTAGGCATTTAAGGAGACGCTGTGGGGTGGGGCATTTGCCGGGAACAAACGTGAACTCTTGTGATGTGAGCTCTTGTACCTGGACTCTTTGTATCTTGGATCAAGTTTGTTTCCTGCTGAGTTCTCCTTGCTGTCCTCAGTTTTGCAGTTTGCAGGCTACAGGGCAAGATGGGCGTTGGAAAGATCATACTT